CAAAGTACCTTTCTTTTACACTCAATAATGCTATTTATTTTGTAAATAAAATTCTTTGGATAGTTATTTGTCTAAGAACTTCAGTTATATTAGATATTTCCTTCATTTCTTTGTTTTTTAGTTATCACTATATGTGTTCTTCTGAGAAGACAACGGATATCTTGTAACTGATAGACTGTGAGGCTTCGAAATTCAAATATTTGTTTGACTATATTGTCTTCATGAATATAGACATACTAAAGTGTCCACTTTCTTACTGCTTAACTAGTCTGTATAGAAAAAATGACTTACCATTATCTGTTTCTGAAGTCAACTTAATACTAAGATATTAGTAAGTCAGTATCTACGAAAGTAAATAGTATAACTTCATTTCAATACCATGATAGTATCATCAGTATTTTTTTCCTTCACGTTCCCAGTGGAACATAGGACCCCTTCAAGCTAGTGACTTGAAGTTTTTGTAGCGGTGTTTATTTTTACAGGATGGGGTTGCTAGCCTCATGCCCAACCTTTCCTCTTCACCAGCATTATTTCTGGCTTAGCGAGGTAAAGGAGTGAGTCGGCCGGGGATCGAACCACAGATCATGTGCATGGTCGGCGAACGTCTTAACCGCTATGCCACCGACTCACATTATCAGTATACCTTAGTCATATTCACCAACTTACAAGACAGGAAGCCACAAAAAGGTTGCGTTTGTAGAATTCATAAAATGAACTACTACAAAAATCACTCTATCCTCATGAAATAGAACATAAAGTGATACCTGGATTGACATTGGAAGCTGTACCTAAAATCCCTCAAGACTGAGAAGCGATAAAATGTCTGCAGTTGAAAATCTCCACTTTTATGTTAAGTGGTTGGATTAAGGCTAAATAAATTTACAATCCCCATAAATTTGTCTTTACTACACTGGATAATGTTGATAAAAGTTGACTAGAAAAAACACATGATATAGGAATAATCAGTGTCACTGATTGGTCTTGAATGTGAAGGGTGGTTTAAGGTGGATAGCAGAAGTCAACTGGAATACCCCTCAACATCCACACTCTGTACTAGCTGACGTAGCCACTCATATAGTCAGTCAGTTAGTTTTGGTTATGACTAAAGATTTAATGAATATTAGTACTTAAACAACTGTTAAGTAATATATTAGAGTTCTGTTTTTCCCTCAAAACTACTGGTGTGAGGTTGAACACTCATATAAACTTTCTTTAGTCTATGATTTGGTTCCTATAAATTGGGAATTATAAAGTTTCTATTAACAACTTGACATTGTAAAAATAGTGTCAGAATTCCTTTGGTATATAAATATGTAATTCAAGTGAATTGTGATAGATGAACCAGACTGTATAGATAAGGTACCACGAGAATGATTTAAAGTTAATACTGTAACTCCAACTTATGATCAAATTCTATCAGTCAGAAATATATTACATTCACGTAATACAGTTGTTTTTAGACTGTATAGAATTATGTGTTGTAAAAAAGTGACTGTTAATAAAGCATTTTCTAGGCATGTTAAACATTAAATAGATTACGAAAGGTTGTATCCAAAGTATAATACATCGTTGTAATAAATATCTTTATATATTGTATATTTTTCTTCATAAAAGTTGTTTCCTTTATTAAAACAATTAATCCCTTTGATAAATTTGAACAAGGCATTAAGAAGACAAATTTCTCGAGGTGATATCATTTCGTAGTTTCTTTACTACCGCTTTACAACTAACATGGTTAACAATACTAAAATAAAGTTCATGAAAATTACTCAGTTAAATAAAAACAAAAGTACATACTAATGACCAATCATATTAAGATAGGTCATGCAGTCCAGGGTAGGCGAAGATTGAAGTCTATTGTCTTTTGTACACACAGTTTAGGCTGTATGTGATTAATCCAAAGTGATTCCATCACCTTCAATAACCTTGAATTAGAGTTATGTGAAATAATTGTGAAACAGTCATTAATACTGATTGATTTTGTGACCTGATATTTATAAGTGTTTTGCAATGGATGATGCTGGATTTCTATTCAGATTAAGCGCATTGGGATTTTCTATGTGATTTAGCAGCCATTTTGGAATATGCTCTTTTCGACGACATTGGAACATTCTGTTAGTTCTACCTATATAGGTGTCACCGCAGCTGCAGGTGAACTTGTAGATACAGTTTGAAGTAGAGTCCACAGAATTTCGTCCTTTAATCGTAGGAACAGGGATCGAAAATGTTCGGCATGTGAGAAAAAGACATGAGGCGGCGTAGAATGTGCGTTTGATGGCTGATCGAAGTCTTTGAGTTGTCAACTGCATAATCTGGTCGCCCTTGAATGGTAGATTAATAAAGATGGCTTTCTTTGGTACAGAAGCTATCTTTTCGAGATGTGGTTTTTCTTTGCTGTGACAAGTGATAAAGCTCTCCGGATAACCATTAGCTAATAAAACTGAATGTACATGTCGAAGCTCATCTATCAGTGTGTCACTCGTGCATATTTTTCGGGCCCTTCAGAACAAACATTTCACTAGGGAACGTTTATACTGGATAGAAACAAAACGGGTAAAATGAAGATGGACTGGACAATATCTTCATTTTACCAGTTTTGTTCCTAACGCGATTAATCTTAGTAGAAATCCAGCATCATCCATTGCAAAACACTTATAAATATCAGGTCACAAAATCAATCAGTATTAATGACTGTTTCACAATTATTTCACATAACTCTAATTCAAGGTTATTGAAGGTGATGGAATCACTTTGGATTAATCACATACAGCCTAAACTGTGTGTACAAAAGACAATAGACTTCAATCTTCGCCTACCCTGGACTGCATGACCTATCTTAATATGATTGGTCATTAGTATGTACTTTTGTTTTTATTTAACTGAGTAATTTTCATGAACTTTATTTTAGTATTGTTAACCATGTTAGTTGTAAAGCGGTAGTAAAGAAACTACGAAATGATATCACCTCGAGAAATTTGTCTTCTTAATGCCTTGTTCAAATGTTTCCTTTATGTTTGATAAGACGGCATTTCCACTGCTTTCTCAGTTGCGTTAATTGTAAAAGACCAGTATCCTATTGTACCACTGATTTGTGTCATTTCTTCGCCTACTGTAACTTCTTATTAAGTAACTAAGGTTCACCGATAATCAGTATATGACTTTAGTGGAATCGTGAGTCAACTGAGCAGTTCCTAATTAAAATTTTAACTTGTAAACGATTTTAGCACTATAATTTATGTTGTGTGAGCGCCAATTCAATCTTGTGTATTATAATCATTATTCTTTCCTTGGGTTCCGAGTGGAACAGGCTTTCAGCAGCTCATTGTCATTATATTTCATCATCTATCTCGACGACTGTCTATATGATTTCCTCTGATTAAAACTCAGGCATTCAACACGTGGCTTCCCACTCAATTTATACTTAAGAACCTTCCTGGTGTGTGTGTGTTATCAATTGAATGTCTTTTCAGCGTACTTGTAATTCATCTCCATTTCCTTGACTTGTTCGGTGCCAGAGTTCCTTGTTGTTTATTTAATCTTGTGTATCAAGACGTCGGTGGCACAGAGGTAGAATGCTCGCCAACCATGCAGGTGGTTCGAGGTTCGATTCCCGGCCGACACAATCCCTTACCTCGTTGGTAGAGAGGGAAGGTTGGCGATAAGGCTAGCAAATCCATCCCATAAAAATAAATACCACTGCTACCGAAAATTCAAAGCCCAAGAAAATTAAAGTCCTATGTTCCACTGGGGAGGTAAACGAATAACTAGAAAAATCAGGACGTAATACAAAGGCAGTGTATGCGTATATATTGTAGATGCAGATGTAGGTAGATTTATGCATGAAAAATTCCAGCTCCTTTCTTAAGGCAACGTATTTTGACCAAGCATTCAAGATCCGAAAGCTCTAAACTTCTTGATTTCCTCATTAACTATTCGACTGGATCTGTCATACAAGGTCATTCACCATATGGATATTGTAGAAGTTTTCATTGTATATAATTTACCTTTTTCATACCTATGCTTTATATATATATATAATATAGATGGGTGTCTGTGGTTGAATAGTAACATGTTAGCTGGCTACTCATGTGGTCTAGGTTCGATTCCGGGCCGACAAACTCCTACATCACGCTTAGTTAATGGTGTACCTGGAAAACAGGGAAAACCGGGCTTGAGGCTAGCAACCCTATCTTGCAAACGCAACACCGCCGCTACTGAAGCTTCAAAGATCAAAAGCTGAAGCCCTATATTCCATTAGGAACTGAATGGAATATATATATATATATATATAGTATGTCATAATAAATAAAACATATTCATGCCAACTATTATATGTGATTATTACCATTATACAACTCACGAAGTGTCCAGTCATATTCCGAAAAACCACTAGTTGTCAGATTATTCATATTATCTTTTATTGATGGGATTATAGTGATTCGAATATTCTCTTTTAGAAAGACATGAGAATTTCTTAATTAAAAATTGTAGACTACAATCAACCAATCCTATTCTTACCAGACAGATATCCATCCATTAACCTTTGCTGACCACTAATCTGACTAATTAATACGTTGCTGTAAATTCGTATCCAGAATTGATTTCAACTTAAATACAACTAGTACTAAACTCTTTGCTTAGGCTAAAAACTGGACACTTGTTGCCATTGTTTCTGTTGTTTTAACGAACTAACTTTATGACATTTTGTTCACCTTATCATTGTGTGTGAACGGTGATAACTTACAATGGAACCCCTTCCGATGAAAACAAAACACTGTATGGCCAATGCACTATCAGCTAACCAATAGGTCTGCTTAAACATTTACAAATAGAATCAGCTAATCACTTGCTCAAGCAGAGATGATATAAACACAAACGAGTGAATAGAACACGCTTATTCGAAAATAAGAAACATCATTATTTCACTGATAACTAGCGGTCAAATTACTATCTAGACGTCTAAGCGCTCATTGTTGTCAGCTTATTTTAAACAAAGCATCATGACGTTTCAGATGTGTATCTTCCTAACAACATTGCTAATTATGGTGAAAATTGATAAGTGTAAGTGTAATTATCTTATTTTTGATGTTTAAATTTGTCGCAGGAATTATTGCGTTAACCTTCACAGTAATTTCTATACCATTTATTATATATATTGTCAATATTCTTCTGGGTCCCGAGTGCAATATAGGGCTTCGACAGCACGCCTCCATTTTGATTAGTTCTGCAGAGTCCTCTTCAGCTGGACCCACAACTGTCCATATGCTTCCACCTTCTCTTCGCACGATACCCTCAGTGTTACCCTTGAACACTTGCCCAACTCATCGTTTCCCATCCACCTTCTACTCGACCGATGGCCTGGCACATTATGTGTCCAATCCACATTCGTTTTCCTCCGAGTATTCCTTGAGCTATAGGTTCTCGATATTTCGTTCCCATAGTTTCTTGATGATAATTTTTTCTAGCCATTTGATCTTCATTATGAATTGAAGGCAGCTGTTGATGAAAGTCTACGACAGCCTGTTGGGAATGCTTCTTATGGCGTGTTAGCCAAATTTCTAACTCATATAGAAATAACTTAATATTAGTGCTGAAAATCCGAATTTCGTTCGGATAATCGTTAAACACTCTTTTTTACGAGTATTCGTTATAAAGAAGAGTATTACATTTCTCCTGATAAACTCTCACGAGGGTTATGTTAGACACTCTTGACTCAAAAAATGCTACATGATTTCACATACATTAGTAGGAACAATTGAAGAGGATATTCGGCAGGATATTTTCGTACTATATAATAATAGGGTTATGTTGAAATCCATGAACAATCTTCGAAGGAAGCAGGATAAATATAAATGTCCGTTTTCCTTCAGACGTCAACTTCTCTTTTTGCCTCTTTACAAAAATATCGCTTAGTCACTTGTATAAAAGTATTATAGCTTTTCTATGCTGAATTAACAACGATTACCATCTGTAGCTAGGTCCACTGAATCAATGTAATATACATGCATAAATAAAAAGAAGATAAATTAGAAGATTATGCGTGAAAGCACAACATTTTTACTAAGCTGTCTATGTATTTACACACACGTATACCGCACTTCTATATAGCTAGACAATAACCATTGATAAGCCGTGATCATTTAACTAAAAACAAATAAACTAACTTCTAGGGTATTTTGTCTACGGAATGAATTAAACCTTATGTTACTCGGTTCCATGATGCCCAAATTGATAGCGTTTTACATTCGAATGAGTAATGAATTAATTTCAAGTTAGATATTATGATTTTATTATAATAGGATGTATTACTGATTGACGCCGGTCAGGTAGTGGTTGTAGGAATATCATTGACATATCCGCAAGTAAGCATAAAATACAGATTCTGAGTATATTTATCAGTCATTTTACTCTGTGGTAAAACAGAGATGCAAGACAATATTTGGTTTAATCAATCAGTTGTTTGGGAGAAACAAATATCTGTCTTAATACACATATGTAATCATTCAGAAGGTGGTGAGATATAATTCGTAAGAACAACACACATTTCTATACATCTGTTTTCTCAGTTTTCAGAATCTTAAAGTAATCGGACAGCAGTGTTTTGTTTTTATTCCTTCACGTTCCGAGTGGAAATACAATCGACATATAATTAGCCGTGACTTCGTCTTTTCCGAAATAACTAAAAATGCCGAACCCCCGCATCCAGTCTTCATTCTTTCCCAGTCTTACTATCGGCCCAGCGACGTTAAGATGTAGGTTGGGAGAGAATCCAACTCTGGACCACTTGAGTGGTCAGCGAGTTCTCTGACACTGAACCACCGATCCTAACAGTAGTGTAGTAGTTTATTTATTTAGGCTAAAATGTATATACATGTTAATAATTAATTATCTGTTTTACGCATTACTGTTATTAACTTGTGCTCCTTTACTTTTACCAATTATTATTATTATAGCTGTTGCTGTTAACTGTTTCACATGTAACCCTTGTCCAAGTCCATTTATCCCCTCGTCCTATTTAATTAGAAATATGACCGGTTGTGGTTCATGTGCAGTAAGTCAAAGATTTCAGTTTAATTTAATTCTGTTATTGTTCTAATTATATATAATAGTGCATTTTCAAATAGTGTTGTTCACACCAACATAGAAATGATAGATTTCACAAAGCTACAATTAGTCAATACCAAGGTAATAAACTTCCATCACTCATTATATACGCTCCTCAGTGAATTAATGCCAGACGAATATACTAACACTATTGGAAGAGCTCTGTAATAAAACTCATGCATGTACAATAAAACTTGTATCGTTGCGAGACTTGATAGCCTGCTTTAGACTTTCATCAAGAACCAGTTACCTTCTGTCTATGCTAAAGATCAGAAAGAATGAGATACAAGGAATTCTGACAGTACAGTGTACCTGCCAACAATCTTTTATCCAGCACACATGTATAGAAGAAAGTGGAAGTATATTAGACATACACTGGGTTTTTGATTGGACACTAGTAACTAGTGTGATGTGTCTAGTCTTTTCTTTGGTGCAGACTGAATTCTGTCAATCAGGTTTGTAATGTGGCCACCATTCTAGATAACTCGCTATCATGGTGCACATTGATTTGATGATATTAGATGGTCGGAGGCAATCGGCTACAGGAAGCCTTGGATCTAGGTTTCGTGCTAGTGTGCACTCATCAGCAAGGCGTATCTGCAACCTTGAAAGAATTCATGTCCCTTCTGAGATTCGAACCCGCGTCACCCAGTGCTGCGGTCAGAGACGTTACCACTGAGTTTACATTGAAGTGACATCATATGCTGGTGGGCGTGGCCTGTAGCAAAATCCAAAATGGGAGCTGCCATATGTTATGCATCAGTTTGAGGGTGACATGGAGGAGGAAATGAAGGCTTGCAGACAGTTCATCGATAGATCAAGGAGCCTAATGCGATAGACATTTGTCACTAAAGCCCTGTTAGACTTTATTCAGAAAACTTATCCCTTGAGACTAAGAAGTTTTCCCACTTTCTAAATATACCCGAAAAGGTAACTTTACTCATTAAAATGATTTCACTGTTTTGAAAAAAAATAAAATAAATTGTTCGTCACTAAAATAACACAACAGATTTATGTGAGAATGCTGCATGAAACAGTGAAACACTCGCTGTCTAAAATTCTATCCATTTATTAACCTACAACAATTATACAAAAATAAGAGGCCATTTGTAAAAGAAATCTAATCAAATTAGTCATGTAATAAATAGGATGAATGACTAAAATTTCATCAATAAGGATATTCCTTTCATTTTAAAAGTGAATACTAACCACTAAAATGTTGAATACATATATTACCTGTTTTATAGTCCAATATTGTCTACTGTATTCTAGCATAAATGAATTTGTAACCGTAGAGACTGAAGTAGAAACTTATTAAAAAACAATTGTTTCCCCTTCCTGTTCCTCTCCTTAATAAATCTATTTGTCTATCGAATAATACGGGTTTGGTCGACGTAGGAAAGTGGAATTTCAGACATTTTTTTTTATCATTTATAAGTATCTATTCTTCATGTTTATATTTTTTAGGCGGGAAAATAATGAGTTCTCACAAATTTTATTATTTATTTTCGCTATATATACAACAGACAAATTAATCTTTTGATTTCTTTCTCTTTTTCATTTTAAAACAGAAACTTGATGTCAGAGGTATGCCAACTCCGATTAGAGATTGTGTAGAAACCTGCGATCGTTATACATGGGCAAACAAGTATACCCAATATGCTTACAGTTGTTGTACACGAAATTTCTGTAATAAAAGTCAAACAAATTATCCAACTTATCAAATGATATTCACAATTTTATCAATTATCTGTTTTTATATGACTAAAAGCAGTTCAAAGCATTGACAGTATTTAAACAATTTTTGACTTGATTTCTTATCTGCTAACCTTTTCTTTATGTATTTTCTCATCTTCTCATATTTATTGATTCGTTTGCATCGATTCCAGTTTGTTTAATCTGAGTATTTATGTTCAATGTCAAGTTGACATATAGTCTAGTTGTGTAATAGGGAAAAAACAACATCATTTCATTTGTGAAGCATAACATTTTTCTTTCCTTTAGCACGCCAATCAAATACTACAATAAAACAATTTCTATTCAATTATCAATACAATAATTCTTAAAAAAATATATTGATGCCCGTGTTTGGCTAGAGGTGGACAGTTTATGATTAATTTGATCAATAGACATGGAGGTGATTTTAAAATACATTTTCTCCTTATAGAAATAGATATTAACAAAGTAGGTTATGCTGAGTTGATTTAAAGTGACGTAAAAGAAAGAAAATTTTTGCCTAATTGCTTGCGTATCACCAGAAAAATGAAAGAGTAACATTTAACAAAATTTCTCATATGGTGAGTTACTTAAAACAATATTAGGAGAATAAAAACACCAAGAAAGGCTCTTCAAGTGATTTTAGAGTACACACCCTATGTTACAAATCTTGTAAAAGGTGATTATTTCAAGGTATTTTCACCACAGAATAAGGTAATGTAGCGTGTGTTGTGGACAAGAATTTGAAAACAATGTAACATACATTATCTAATTCTAGCATCTTCATTAGCTCAGTGACGGATTAGGTTGCCAACAATAGAAATGAAGTTTTCAGGTGACTACTTCCACAAGTATTACAGAAATTTAGGAGCCTACAGCTTAGTTAAGATAACGATAACGTTGAAATTCATCAGCCCTAAAGAAAGACGTAAAAACGTAACTGCTAACTTCCAGGTTTATAGGATATGTCCCTACTGCTATCAAGTATAAGCTATAGTTAGTGGATAAAGCCCGATCTATGGACGTTAATCAAGGGGTGAGAGTTATAATACAAGAAATAAGTCCAACTGTTGCATCAGTGATGAATGATGGGACAACAGAAAAACTTCAGCGGCAAAAACTTTTTTTTATTTTTTGTTTTCTTTTGTGATTATAGCTTGATTCCACACTGTATTTTTGGTACAAGTATGGAATTTTCAGCATGGATATCGGTTACCCAAATTTTGCAGGCCGACCATGGATATCAGATGTGCGTCGGCAGGGGATCGAACCTCGGACCATGTACATGGTTGACGAGAGTCCTAACCACTGTGCCACTGATGCACACGCGAATAAAAGTGACGCAAATTGACAAATGTTTTATTTGTGGAAGAATAGGGAGTTAGCATAGAAGTTGCTAGTAACGAAAATGCAAATGTTTTAAGTAAACTCGTCTTCCTCATTTTTCCGGTGTTATTTCACTGATTGTCTGGCTGATAGAAAGAGAGGATGTATATGGAAGAATTCGAGAAAACTGAGCAGAAATAGTTTGTACAATCAATACAGAGGCAGCCGTTTTACTAATAGGTGAAGTAAACGTAACTACATAAGGTCGCGCCATATTAGTTCAGATTGTTGAGAGACCCACACTGAAAGTTCTTGGTGTTGCAGACTACACAGTAGGGGTGAAAGAATGTAAAATTTGCTGTGGATTTGTTATAACATTAGAGATACGGTAAACACTACTGGGAGAAGACCTCTCGAGAGAAGTAGGCATGATTATAGATATGAGGAGTAGAAAAATGAACATGAAATATGGGCAAGATGTAGTGCATGAAAACACTTAAGCGGCAGCAGTAGAAATACCAGTAACCGTCGCAATGGACATTACGCTTATAAGAGTTCGATTTCACTATCTTACACGCTATCCGGAAAGAAATTTTGCTGACATATTCTTTATCGGAAGTCAACGGCGAGTCTCCTGAGATGTCATACGAGTACATGCACAATAAAAAGACCAGTTAGTACTTGTATGCAGTCAAAAGTCGGAAAACAATTATTATAGACCAAAAATTACGGTATAAATGTGTTCCGAGCTGCGGTAAATAGGGAGCTAAGGAAGTTACTTCTGCAGGAAGGTTGATTAAGATTCATTGCAGTGGTTAAGCATTAAGAGGATCACAACGACATCTTATCAGCAACAAAGAAATAGTACAACAGAGAGAAATAAATGTACACTGAAGAAGTGACTAGCCTCTGAAGGAGGCCAATGAGAGTAAGAGGCTCCATTGATTCTCCTCTGTTCAGGAAATTGTATAAAAGTCACTGTTTCATATTATGGTCAGAAAGCAGCACTACGGTACACAATAAAACCTAGTTGCATCACCATTGGTGGAAATAAAAAGGAAATAAAGAATCAAGAATATGCAGCATTCACAGAAAGTCGTTGCTGCGAAATCTGAACAAGGGAAAAGTAGGAACTAATTACATCTGAGGCTGAATGTCAGGAGGAGTTTAGACACAGAAAAGACACTGTTGGTGGCCGTCTAGGTTCTTAAAAACCTCCAAATTGCATTCTTAAATGTAGTGTTATTTATTTTACTATTGCTGTAGGTAGTTTTATCTAATGAACATTCTACTAACAAATACTTTTGTGTTCTCTATTGCTATAAGATAGAGGAATTTTCGAAAGGAAAAAACTCGCAGCGATTTCTTATCATCGATGCACCTCACTGTAAATTTATACTGATTGATAAGCACAACTATCAGTCCTTCAACTAGGTCTCATTCATAATACGCAGACAAGAGATAGAAGTTATTTTATTAACTAAGTCTCCTAGCTTCACTCAGTATTTCATTCAGTTCCAACAGCTCTTAAGATCTTCTGTCACTATTCACATCCAAATTATTTTAGCTGGGACTATAGATCTTGGATTCATATCAAATATTCTTGAAGCTAGTGACTGTGCAGTGATTATATTCACCTGCAAAGATTTCGATTACAGATAATAAGAAATAGTATCAACAGTAAAAGTGAACTTTAGTTTTTAGTCTAAACTTGACGAATAACAGATGTCTGTAGCATTTTTCAGAGTAGCCTGTAATAAATAAACTGAAATACAAGGTTGATCACGACAAGAAAAACAATTGAAACTGAAGCACTAATGGACATATAAGGACAAAGAAGAGGCTGTGAGTAGTTTGAATTCTACTTAACATACATACACCTTCATCGTAACTTTTCAAATATTTGCTTCTCACTCGAGTTCCATCCGAGGGTCTGATAGACACGTCATCAGCTGGACGCCTCTTCAGCACATGTCCAACCCATCCCAACTTCCTCATGCATATTTGTTGAGCAATAGGTTTTAAGCTGGTTTGCTGTCACAGTCCCTTGTTGCTTACCCTTTCTGGCTGACCATCTCATCTTCATTATCAAGCCGAATCGATATAATGAACTGGTTCCATTAGTGTCTATTTTATTTATACGTTAGAGACAACCCATTCTTATGTTCAAACCTACTTCTCTTTATGATTGCCTCAACCAATAAGTTCATTAATGCTTGTTCATTAGAGGTAACTAGTTTCAATCCGAGTTATCCTGAAAAATCAAATCATATGCAAAACCATGGAACGTGAAACTGCTTAACTACAGAATTTATTTCAAGCTATTTCCCAAATGACATGAGTCTCTGTGTGACATTGTGTCTTCTAGTAGGAGCGCTTCGATGAGGTGCGATGATTACCACGATATTATTCAGTTGATCGTGACTGGCAGTGTAATCCAAGATGTGTATATTAACATACACCAGGTGATTTGATCCAGTGTCACGAAATAACGGGAAGTACAAACTAAATGAAATAAGTACCGACTGTTATCGATTGCAGAAAATGTAGCTCTCTTAGCTAGATGGACTAGTAGATAAGGCTAAGTCTCAGTGAGAACAGCATCGCTCACTCATAATTCAGGTACATTCATGTAACGAATCCCGAATAGGGATGAAATGCACATCTCGAAATTCATTGCTAATGTAACCAAGGAAGACAAGAGACTTCGTAACTGAATGTGTTTTTGTAATTTGATATACATATATAGGAAAATTATGCATACGACATATGAAACCCGTCACTGGCACTGATCTTCCGTGTTGTACTACTGTTACCCTTCATAGTGTGTTTCTTCTCACCATGTCTCCCGTGTTTTGTCGCCATACACTGGTTAACTTCGTCTCTTTTACTTCAAATCTATCTCTGCGCTATTTGATGGTTTTGCACCAATTAACATCTCTTAACATACTACTGGTAAATCTTGTCAGTAGCACACGCCACACTAGAAGTCAACAACCAAATAAGACATTATTATATCCCTCTCTAAATAATATTACGAATGACTTAGTGACAATAGATTTTACTGAAATATTCTGTCAGATTCTGTTTTGTATATTTTTATCATTTGGAGATACAAATTTTGGAAATGAATCATGTGTACGTTTGATAAGTGTGGCAAATAAATGAAGATAGAGATTTTATGGCTTTATAGTTTTTACAATATACATTTCCTGTATATGTAAAATAGTTCTAAGTAATACATAATTCACACGGTAGTCGGTTGAAAACAGCTATTTATGTAAAGCAGCTTTGTTTGTCTAAATTGAGAGCAATAGATCAAAAGAATTAAAATTAAGATTTTCATCATTTTGTTTAGTTATTATGCACGGAATACACAGACTTCTACTTTCTCGTGATTTTAGTGAAATATATTGAATAATTTATGTTTATTGTTACTAATGTTCAACACATTAGCCTCGAGTGATTGTTTAATTTTGTCCCTGATTTACATAGAATAGCACATTTAAACAAACAGTATTATTCGCTTAAATACATCTACCTATGGAAAAGACGAGTCGTGATCTCAGTAACAAAATAATTGACTTTGTCACTGAATGAAGGAAGCTCAGATCTCAGAAACACCACTGAGTTTCTCATATGTTTATATGTCTCACTTATGTTAACCGATTGTCTGGGAAAGTAGATCAAAACTATCCGTGTCGGTTCACTCCTTTTATTATCCAATATAAAATTAAAGTACACC